GTCTATGGAAGGTTTCTCATGTTTTCTACAGACGATGTAGTTGCCACATAAAGATTTATTAAATATTTGTTGATAGTCTGTGACTTTTGTGAAGTCTGAAGCATTGACTGAAGGGTGACTGTTCCATGCAGATGTGAATGTAGTGTTCTCCAAGTTCTCCAGCTATGGGTGAACATTGCTGCTCCATTCACAACCCAGGCAATGTGTGAGCAATTGAAAAGGCAGGGAGGCTGGAAACATAGTATTTCTTCCCACGTGAGCAAGTACATTGCTTGGGGCAGGCCAATGTATTGAATAGTAACCAGCAGCATACCTGTGAAGATAGAAGAACCCAGGCAGCAGTCTTTCAGGGATGGTCCATTAGCTGTTCCTGGAGGCTGGTTGTAAACACTTAGCACAAGAAAAGGCAGGATCACTCTAATAATGCCCTCTTATTTGGTGTTGAGCCAAGTAAGAGCAAAGGAGATTAACAGAATTGAATTTGAAACAAAAGTGGATGAGAAGATAGCACCCAAATGTCAACATCATCTAATTGAGTTCTGAGGAAGGGTCACTAGACCAGGAACATTAATATCTGATTTTTTTTCTTCACAGATGTTGCCAGACCTGCTGAGCTTTACCTGCAACTTCTGTTTTTGTTCCTGATTTACAGCATCCAGATTCTTTTAGTTTTTATCATCTAATTAGCATCATGCACCATGCATCATTTCCTTGTGCAGAAAACAAGAAAAGAATATTCCTTTTCTCATCTGTTAAAACAAATCTTATCCTCCAAATGTAGAATTATTCCCATTAAATCATATTTAATGATGGCAGGAACACAATAATTTGTAACTCCTCTGTGATATGAGTGTAGATGCGTCCGTGTCATTGCATCTGCATGACTCTAGACAGGGTTAATGTTAGGAATGACAGTAGACAAAGATATCCTGCTAAATTCTGTCATAAGCGTCATTCTTGAGGGATATCCAATTAGGCAATATATGAAATAAATAAATGCCTCTGGCTCCATTGGTCAAGGTAAGCCCTCTCTAGAATTCACAAAGGAAAAAATGACAGATCTCAGGTGATCATAGTGGCAAGCAATGACTGACAGCTTGTGGAATGTCTTTTAACTGGCAACATCTTCAACAGTTCAGGAGCACCACCTAACTTTTTCACATTAACTGAAGGGATTCATTATAATAGCAATATGTATCAGCTGTGTAACATCTCCCAAAAGAACTGGAACCATAGACAACATAAAAACATTGGGTAGATTCCTTGACAGATCCTCATCATGGTAACATTGCTATGGTCCACCAATTGTTTTTTGGAAAACAGTGCTTTTTTTTAAAAAGGACACTCTCATGCTACACAGAATGATGGACATAGATCTCTGTCCATCCTTCTCAAAGGTCACACATTTATTTAGTCATGTAAAGCTGATGTGTGAGAATCCGACCTTGTATTAGAAGAGAAAATAACAAAATTATTAATTAATACAGTAAACAGGGAGAAATTTCTTCCATTCGTAGGTGGATTGGTAACTAGGGAACAGAGATTAAAGGTGATCAGCAAAGTAATGGGAAAGAAGACTTTCGTTGTGCACAGAGTGATGATGATTTGAATTACACAAATGAAAGTGGAAGCTGATTCAATGGGACTTTCTAAAATGAATCATGTGAATACTTCAAAAGAGAAAATTACAAGGCCACAGAAATAGAGTTAGGAGTGAGGCTAATCAGATGACTCCCAAAGTGCCTTATAGGCTCAGTGTGCTGAGGAAACTTTTGCTTTTGATTTGATTGAAGGTCTATTTTAATCAGGCGCGATCTTTTGTTTGATGGGAATTAGTGTAGTTCTGCACTCCTTTAGCTTCTAGCCCTTTGTTGAATTAGAGAGAAATAACTGACACATACTGTGAAAACTAGGCCAGCAAACAAACTCTCCAAGAAACATATGAAACAAAAAGTTGAAGCATTTTATTTATGGCAGCTTTATTCATTGTTTTTCCCCTTCTTGCTGTTCTGCCACATTCTCTATTCTTGGACAATGAGAATGCATAAACCTGCAGTGTGCTTTTGGTCAATTGGTAGCGCTCCAGCCTGTATGTCCAAAGAGTGGTGAGTTCAAGTCCCATTTCAGGACTTGAGCAAGTGTTGCACAGTTGGACAGCTATTGGTTTGGGTGAGAGATTAAACCAAGGCCATTCTGCACTTGCAGACAGGTGTTCAGAAAAAAATGTGACACTATTGCAAAGAAGGGTACAGAAGTTGCCCTGGTACACAGGCCAATATTTATTCCTCAATTAACATCATAAAATACAGGCTACTTTGACATTAGTACGTTACAACAGTAGATATTCTTCAAAAGTACCTTATTAACTATCATATATTTTGGGATGTCTTAAGATTGTGAAAAGTGTTATGTAAATATAAATCTTTCTTTCTTTTTCATAGACCAATATCAACATCACAATTTAGTTGCATGCCTGGGTGCACGCAAAGAAGGTGCAGTCTGATATTCCTCCTCACCTGGTAGTGAAAGATGATGCTTCATAACAACACAGCCAGGTTTGGATATTTGATGACTGTGAAAATGTGCAGTTACATCTGAATACCCTATCATCCTACTGCACAATATTAAAGCAACATCAATACAGCACAACAGCATTTCAGGTAATATTAAATATGCATGTTTCTTGCATTAACATGTATGGCATTAGTTATACAACATTTATTTTTGTTATTAATATTTAATAAAGGTTGTGCAAGTGATCAGATCACCTGTTACACTAAATATTTAATTACTGCATTGCATGAATAACTGGGTTTCACAATATTAAGGAGAAGCATCACATAAATGGACAATATTTTTCATTCCCGATATTGTATTTCCCCACAGTTCAAAACTGCTATCATTGACTTCCTGTGTCTGCTTTATGCGTGGTCAGGATCTTGTCCCAAGTCTTGGCTTTAGTATAGAGTTATCGCTACTCTCAATTCTACTTTTCTCTTTCTTTCTAAGTTTCAATACACTGCCCCTCTGCCTCTACATCCCTGAGTCATAAATGAGAATTATTGTTTTGCCTCCAAATCTAACTTTTTAACCAGAAATTCGAAACCGGTCTTAATTAACCAATATTCCTTGACTAACATAACTTCTCTTCTACTGTTTAGAACCTTAGTGCTGTGGCCTTTGATCTAACCCCTTTCTCCCCCAGTTGAGAAAGGCAGAGTTCGACAAATTGCCTGCTTATGAAAGGATTAACCGGCGCAGCCTCATTTATAAGAATAGAATGGTAAAATGGTTACAACACAGGAGGCTATCCAGCCCATAAAACTGGTGCTGGCTCACTCAAGAGCAATTCAGTAGTCCCACTCAACTATTTCTTCACTGTATATCTGCAATGGTTTTATCAGCATGTACTTATCCAATTTCATTTTGAAAGTCACAATTGAATCTGTCTCCGTCAATCTTTCAGACAATGCATTCCAAATTGTATCAACTCACTGCACTAAAAAAAGGGTTTCCTTCATATTGCCTTTGCTTCTTTTGATAATCATGTTAGATCTATGTCATTTGGATCTTGACCCTTGCACCATTGAGAACAATCTCTATGTACTGTGTAGAACTCTGAGCACCTGTATCATATATTCTACCAATCTTCTGTTAGAAAAGCAATAGCAACTTCTTCAATCTACAGAACTGAAGACTCACATCCTTGAGAGCATTTATCTTTCACTCCTGTGATGTGGGTGTAACTGGCTGGGCTGGAATTTCTTGTCCTTCCCTAGTTGCCCTTGAGAAGTTGGTGATGAGCTCTCTTCTTGAACTACCTGCAGTCAGTGTGCCATACATAGACTGTTAGGGAAGGAATTTCAGAATTTTGACCTAGCAACAGTGAAGGAACAATGACATATTTACAAGTCAAGATGGTGAGTGGCTTGGTAGGAGCTTGCAGGTAGTGGTGTTCCCATGTATCCGTTGCATTTAGGTGGAAGTGGTCATTTAGTTTGAATTGTCTAAAAAGCCTGATACTGTCATGCCAGAGACTGCATATTGCAGATCGTTTTGGTTGACTCCTCCTGCCTTAGATTCAGTTTCCACAAATGCCTCCGACAAACCTCCCACTCTCCTGGAGACATGTCCATCCTTGGCTTCCTCCACTGTCAGAGTCAGACCAAATGCAAACTAAAGGAACAACACCGCATATTTTCCCTTTGGAGCTGACAGTGCAATAGCCTGAATATTGACTTCACCAGCTTTAAAATCTCTCCAACCTCAACCTGTCCATCTTCCCACTCACCTATCTGCTCCACTCTTCCCACAGACCAATCACAATAACCCCCTACCTGCAGCCACCTATCTCCATCTCAGTTACCCTCCCTTCAACTCCAATCCCCTTGCTCTATTTATTTCTTGGCTTCTCTCCCCCTCTCCAGTCCTGAAGAAGGGTTCCGAAAAGAAGCGTTGACTTTCCTGCTCCTCGGATGCTGTCTGACTGGCTGTGCTTTTCCAGCTCCACATTTTTTGACTTTAGCTTCCAGCATCTGCGGTCCTTTCTGTCTCCGACAAACATCTGTTTTGTTTCTGTCCCTGTTTGTGCATCTGAATGAAGTTATTAATAACCGACAATGATAGGTGTTCACTTGCCTGTGGCTGGGCTGACAGGTTAGGTCTCTAGCAGCCACCTGGGATGCTTCTGTGAAGACATGTCCGTGATGTACTCACCAAAATGTTTTTAAATCTGACTAGCTAACATAGATACAGTACAAAAGGAGGCCAATTGGCCCATCTTTTCTGCCCCTGTCCAGAATATAAGATATAGGAGTAGAAATAGGCCATTCAGTCCATTGAGTGTGCACCACTATTCGATGATGGCTGATATGCTACTCAACCCCGTTCTTCCCAACTTTCTCCTGTTAGCCTTGATGACCTTACAAGTCAAGAATCTATCTATCTGTGTCTTAAATACGCCCAATGATGTGTCCTTCACAGTCTTCTTTGGCAATGACTTCCACAGATTCACGCTCTGGCTGAGGAAATTCTCCTCATCTCAGTTCTAAAGAGTCGCCCCTTCATTCTGAGGTTGTGCCCTTGGCTATTTTCTCAAAACTGAAAGGTACAGTCTCTCTTCATGTTGCTTCAGCTTTTACCCCTGCACGATTTATAGGGTGGTGACCCTGTTGATTGAACTTGGTTAGAGAAACAGGAGAGGGAATTGAAAAGTGTGTGTGTGTGGTGGGGAAGTCGGGGATGGGTGGAAGATATTAAGATAATGAGGGAGAAGCTGGGAAAATCCAAATGTACTGGAGACCGGGAAGGTTAATTCCTTTGAAACTTCTGGAGCGAGCTTAGAAGAATGACAATCGGATCGGAGAGGGACGTATGTTTGACTTAAAGCCTAGTAGTCTGTGTGTGTGCCATCTGCAGCATTGGCTAATATGAAGTAAACATCAAACTGCCCATTAATTGAGTACACACATGGTGTCTTATGGCTTAAAGGCTGCATTAATGTTTTAAAGTGTTTAATTATTTAAAGCATTTCTCACCTTTCTGCACCAAATGAACAGGTGCACCCTGTTCCCATAAGGCTGGCTTATGTTTCCCAGTAGAATTTCAGGACCTGTTTAACCTCTGCAATAGGACGTACAATAGCCACAGATGAAAACAATAAGGTGTTCAAATGCAGACTTTCAGCACCGTAGCACTTGGAACACAAAAATAAATAATTATTGTTTTCTTTTCCATTACAATTCATGCACATAATTACAGAAGTACCAGGGCTTAGTCAAGCAGGCTTAGAGAGAGAAAACAAAAAAGGGATGAAACAAGATGAAAGAGAAATGAGAGAGGGTGAAAGGAAAGAGCAAAAGAAAGAGTGAAGTGAGGAAATGGAAAGAGGAATCTGGAAGAAAGGAAAAGAGAGAGAAATAAATACATAATAAAAGATGAGTGTAATAAAACAAAAAAACCAGATTAAAACAAGAGAGAATAGTAGTTAGAAAACAAAGGAATAGACAAAGAAAATAATCAAGAGATTAAAATAAGAGAAAAAGTGAGGGATAAAGAAATAAGGACATTGTAAAATAAGACTGGGAATGAAAAAGAGGAAATATTATCTGAAACTAACACAAGAAAACACAAACAATAATCAAGAAAAGGGAAAGAAATTAAAGAATGTGTGAGGGGCAGTGACATTAAAGAAAGAAAAAGAGGGGAGAAAGGATTAAATATTAAGAAAAGTTTTGAGAAAAAGGGTTGCTTGCACATACAGGAGAGGAAATGAGCGAGTACAAGGAAGTAGAACATGGAAAACAAAAGAGGAAATTGGAAATGGGACTGAGCAAACAGTGAGTTTCACCAGGAGCTGCCTCAAACTTGTTCCTCAGAATGGCCCATTTTGTGCTATCACATTCTATAGAGTAAACTCAGAGAAAAATGAAGGGAAAATGAAAAGGGAAGCTACAAAAGTGACAGATTTAAAATAGAAGAATAATAAACAAATTGGGAAGTTTTTCTCAGTGTTGCTGTGTTGATTTTTTGTCAGTTTCCGGGAGTCCATGAATATTTGTTTGCATTGTCTCCGGCCGCTCACAATGTATTTCTTAACTGTGGAACTGAAATGTTAAAACTGGACTCTTTGTGCTGTGGCAAGTGGCAAGTAGCAAATCCCTACCATCATCAAAAAAGTAGGCTGGAGGAATAACAGTAGATGTGAGGTGGCTGAGACATTTCACACTTTGAGAGACTATCTCCCATGCAGCTGCTCCCACAAGCTTTCTGGATATCTGAGTTTGGAACGCTACTGGTAGTAGGCTGTGCCAAACTACATTAAACTTCCACTGAAGATTAAACTAAATTACTTTAAAAGATATGACAGCAGATAAGCAATGAAAAACATTTGGATAAGTCCTTTATAATTTGAAATAATTACAGATTTCCTTAAGAAATTAACATGCAGGGAGAATTATGGAAATAGAACTATGTTTCATGAGTTGGCATCTTGTTGAGGTTGCAACAAACAGAGTGGTTAAGGGAAAACTATCAGATTTATTATATCTAGATCTTTAAATTTTTTTCAACAAGTTATCAAGTTACACAAAATGAGGGTACATGGAGCCAGTGTGAAATACATGAACAGTATGAGGACTGGGCTAATGGACACAAAAAAGAGAACATGAATAAATGGTTCATTTTGAGGTTGGTAGGCTGGAGCAAAATGAAGGTCAGTGCTTATGTCATAGCTACTTACAATCTATATCAATGACTTTCAAGAAGAGACTCCTGGTAATGTATCCAAGTTGGCTGATGATACAAACGAAGGTGGGAAAATACATTGGGCAGAGAAAGCAAAGATGCTGCAAAAGGATGTTAACAGGTTACATGGGCAGACCAGTCAGTGGTTTATGGAATATAATGTAGAGAAATGTGAAGTTATCCACCTCAATAGAAAAGTAGCAAAGCATTTTTTTAAACGGTGGGATACTGGGAATTCAAAGGGAATTCATTGTCCCTGTAAATATGAATCATTGAAAGATACAAAAAAAGGTTACAAAAATTAGGGAAGTATGAACTATTCAGGAGGATAACCTTAGACCACAAGAGAACATAGATAGCTGGTCAGACAGGCTGATCAGTGGCAAATGGAATTCAATCTCGATAAGTGTGAGGTGATGAACCTGGGCAGGACAATCAAGCCAAGGGAATACATGATGAATGGTTGGACTCTGGCATGCACCGACATCAGAGGGACTTTAGTGTGCATGTACACTGGCCCCTTAAGGTATCAGGACAGGTGAATAAAATAGTTAAGAAGGCATATGGTATATGGCATATGTCTTTATTAGTCAAGGTGCAGAGTTTAAGAGCAGGGAGGTTATGTTGGAACTGTATAGATCATTGGTTAGGCCACTGCTGGACTATTATATACAGTTCTGGAATCCACATTAAGCTGTGATAGTACTGGAAAGGGTGCAGAGGAGATTTGCCAGAATGTTACCGGGGCTAGAGAGTTTCAGTTATGAAGACAGATTAATTTGATTTGATTATTATTGTCACATGAAATGAGATACAGCGAAAAGTATTGTATTGTATGCTATTGAGGCAAATCACACCATGCATTAGTATGTCAGGGTAATAGAACAGAATGCAGAGAAAGTGCAGAAATAGGTCAAAAGTCTGATAACAATGGGGAAGAAGCTATTCTTGATTAAATTCAACGTGTATTCTGTTGCCTTTTTTATCCTGGCCAATTGCATCATCTCACACTCATCCAGATTGAACAGACTGGGTTGTTTTTCTCGAGAGGGCCTATCATTGAAGTGTATAAAATTATGAAGGGCACAGATAGGGTAGACGGGAAGAAAATGTTATCCTTGGCAGAGGAATCAATGACGGGGGTGGGGGGGGGTGTGGAGGATGGTGGTGGGGAGCGTGCATAGATTTAAGATAATGGGCAGAGCATTTTGAGGAGACGTGAGTAAAATCTTTTTCACCCGGAAGGAGGTGGGAATCAAGAGCTCACTACCTGTAAAGGGGGCAGAGGCAGAAACCTTCATAATATTTAAGAAGTATTCAGATATGCACTTGCAATGCCAAGCCATACAAGGCTAGGGCCAAATGCTATAAAATAAGATGAGAATAGATGGTTGTTATTGACTGACAAGAAGGTGACAGGCTGAAGAGCCTTTTTCTATGCTGTAGATCTCAATGACTGTACCATGCAAGTACAGAAAACAAATAGGAAAACAATCAACCTCTCGGTTTTTATTAAAATAAATTGATTGTCAGGGTAAAGAAATCTTACTTCCAAAAAAAAAGTACCTTAATGAGACCACACTCGGAATACTGTGTACAGTTTTGACCTCCTTATCAAAGGTACAACATGTTTTGTTTGTTGAGGAAGTGCCTCAAAGGCTCATTAAGTAACTTGACCCATATATTCCGAAATTCAGAAGAATAAGAAATGATCTAATTGAGATTTATAATATTCCTCAAGGGCTTGTCAGGGTAAAAACTGAGAGGTTGTTTTTGCTGGCCAGAGTGTCTAGAACTAAGACTCAGCCTCAGAGAAAAGGGGTCGGCCAATTCCAACTGAGATGAGAAGAAGCATTTCACTCAAAGCATTGTAAATCTTTGGAATTCTCAGCATCAGACAGCTGCGGAACCTAAGTTACACTCAAGATGCAGTCAAATAGATTGAACTCTGGCATGTGCGCTCTACCCAAAGGTTGCTCTTTGACTCATTGTATACTAAGGAAATTATATATTACAGGGATAATGCAGCAGGTAGATTGGAGGTGGCAGAGCTGACGTGATCATGGGAAATTGGCAGAAGAACTCAAAGGGCCGAGTGACCTACTTCTGCCCTTGTTTCTTATACTTGTATAAAAAACATAATTGTTTCCATAACATCAAGCTCAAGGGAATGTCCTTGGTCAATACAATTAATCAATGCAATGTGTTTTGTAAGGTACTCTAATATGAGAAAAAAGGTTATTTGTTTAAAGTTTGCTTACAATTACTGTGAAGCATCTTGGGATGGCTTGCAATATGAAAGGCGCTCCTAAATGCAGGTTATTATCAGCTTAGCACTTGAACAGGTAGGATTTGGTGCTAAATCATTCGAAATAAGCATATGGTTTGAGAAACAGGAAACAAGGAGTGGGAATAAGGATTCATTTTCGGGTTGGCAACATGTAAGCAGTGAGGTTTCCCACGGATCAGTGCTGGGACTGCAGCTGTTTACTATATATATATTAATATTGTGAGGGATGGAAGCAAATGTACTGCAGCCAAATTTGCAGACAACGCAAAGATTTGCAAAAATAGGTGGAAAGGCAAGTTGCGAAGGTGATATGAACAGGTTACAGAGAGATATTGATACATTGGGTAAGTGGAAAAATGTTGGGAAATGGAGTATAATTTGGGAAAATGCAAAGTATTTCATTTTGGAAGGGAGAACAAAAGAACAGAATATTATTTAAATGGAGAAAAACTGCAGAAAGCTGCAACACAAGGGGAATTG